CAGGTTCCCTATGCGTCAAAACAGTATTTGGGGTATGTGAGCTTTGACTGTATTGTCACTGGAGAAGGAACAAAGAGTGGATGTGGAGATAGCACTGGTTTTTGAAAAAGGCATCTATGGAAAGGCCAAAGAAAAGAGGAGGGCAAAGTTTTCTAGCACTGAAAGCAAGGAATTGATTTTTGAAAATGAAAGAAACCTGTTCTCTAATAGGCCTGAGTTTTGGACCTCTGTGTAAATAACTGATGTTGTACAACTAGTCTGTCATTGCATTCTCTCGAGCAGGACTTCTTTTCCTTAGAGAGTTCATTGAGCGAGGCACTAAACACAGTGGGCTTGTTCCAGCAGAACACTTTAATGTGTTGCATTCTAAGCATGTGAGTAGCCTTGTGTCATTAACGTGTTGTGAGTTAAACTTGCACTAAAGTGCTTTGCTGGATGATTCCCAGAATGTTCAGCCCTGCATCTGGCTACAGCCCTTTATCCTGACTTTTTCCTTACAAAAAGTGACTAGTATAATCAAGAGTTAAATGTGGAGAGATCTGTGTTGTTGCAGGAAGGAGGAAAAGGGATGTTAGGATGCAAATAAAGTACAAAAGAAAGCAAAAAGTTATTTGATATTTAGAGACTTAATTTTGCATTGTCAAACTTACAGTGATATTTATTTGTTCCTTAAATAATTCCGTAATTTCTGCTGCAACAAGCTTGTCTGGTGGCATCTTTGCACGTTTAAGAGCCTTGTGCATGAGGTAAAGGAGAGTCTTTTCTGTTTGGCTTGTGTTGCTGTTCTCATTACTGTGTTCCCTTTTGGGAGCCCAAAGCTGGCTGTGATTATGGTTACTTTTATGGTCTGTATCTCCCTTTTCTTTAGGTCCCATTTTTCTGTGGCTTATGAATTGCTGGCAGTTATTTCTCAGACTATAAATTTGCTTAATAAAGGTAACAGTGTTTAGGTGATACCATTTCTGGAAAATCTGAGTTGATACCACTCAATGTTTGACTAAGAATCAAGAATATACAGTAAGAAGATGAATTTTTAGGTAAATTAAAAAAATAATTGCATGGATTAAAAAGTAAGCTAATGAATAAACCTCAAAACATCATAATGACTAAGACAACATTACTGAGTGATTGCATTATAATGTAGTCCTACATGGCCTGGTGCTTAGCTATACTATCTTAACAGCTTGCATACAGAATGAACAACTGCAGAAGTGCTGCATTATGGAGAGAGCAGGTCAGTGATGCAGAAGAGTTAAGTGGTGTTGCTAAACAGCATGACTTTCACTGTCATGGAATGTGGAGCCCAGCATATAAAATAAAGATGTTATTCTTAAATATAGGATATGTTCCTCAAAGAAGAAGGGGTTTTTTTCTGAAAATAACTGATTTCCATGGTGGATAATCTACTACTGACTTCCCAGACAGACCCATGACAATCCAGAAAGTAAACCCAGGACAATATGAAGCAGTAGGGAGTATATTGCTTATTTAGTTAGAAATTGTATCACTGTTACAGGAACCCTATGCCCATACTTCAAGCAGGACATTGAAAAGTTTTATTGAAAGCTCAAAGAGAATCGAGAATAACATTTTCATAATCACTATTGATATACTAAAAATTTTCACTTGAAAACCAGAAGTAAAAATGGAGATAACAACAGTGTTGGTTAATGGTATAGCTATTGTTTCTCTTCATCAGTTGGGCTGTTCACTCTTACATTCCATCATTGGCATAATAACGTGAGGAACAGCTGCAAACTTTCACAGTAATAGGTACAATTGAAGCTGATGTGTCTAATTAATTTTTAGTCCAACAAATTAGTTTTGTTCTTCATTACTCTCCAATGGGAGGAAGACATTATATTTCATTATGTTTTTGTCTTCAGGAACAATGGAGCGTTACAGGTCACACACTTCCCATGTCTATGTTCTAATTAGTTGAACTGACAGAATTGTTACCACAACACCTGCAGTATATAAGATAGCACAGTGGTACCCTGGATGACATATTTATTACTTCTGCTCAAATATTATCTAAAGAAATACAGAATTAATGCCATTTGTTTCCCCAAACCCCAACAATTGCATTCATTTTATCAAACGTCAGTGGATAACGTTCATCTGTATCCACTTATTTTTCAGTCGTCAAATTCACAAGGCATATGTTATTTTGACATTTGAAAGAGTTATTACTTTTGCAGTTGTAATTGCTAGGCACTGAAGGGTAGGAGCAAACAGCCAGATGGAAAACTTTAGAAGATAACTTGGAGACAGATTGCACCTTCCCCTAGAAGAGAGGGAGAGCGTAAAGTCCACTGAAAGCTCTCCTCAGGCTCTCTGCAGTTTGCTCTCACATCCTGCATTCTCTAAAAGACACTAGAGAAGCAAACGAGATCTTCAGACTTTTTGGAGGCTTTAGCAGGAAGCGGTTGTTCTTTTCTTGAGTCCAGGAGCGTCTGCTCCTGAAGCTGGTGTCCCTGAAGCACTTCCCTGTCTGCTCTTGTCCAAGGCAGTACGGCTGCCTTTGAAGCAGTGCTGACATTACCTGTTTTCTCACCGTCCCACTGCTTTTACCTCTCCTCCAAAGGGCACAGAAATTAACTGAAAGTTAATGACCATTAGAGCAACATCAACTCCCATGCTGATTTCTACTAGAAAATCAATTGTGTGCCTGGAAGAGTGTGACTTAGAGTGCCTCCTTCTATTAGTTTTGCTCTCAACACTTCCTTTTTTAGCACCGGAGTGCACCTATGGATTAGTTCCATGGGCAGGAAAAAAAGGGAAAATCTGATAATGGAGCCACTGCTACCTCCCTTCTTTTCCTCACTGGGTTTTATTCTTGCTTACTGCATCAGAACTGGAAACCACCGGGCCTTTGGCAATGGCAAAGTAATATAGGAAGGTATGGGAAAGGAACCTGCCAGGCCCTGATGTTAGTAATGCTTACCAGCATGGCCAGTATAGACATGATACCAGTACAGACTTCCATAGGTCAGCAGATGTTGTTCTGTCGGCATCCTTCTGCGGGACCTATTTTGTTTGTGGGCAGCCTGTTCTGTTTCCTGCACAGCACTACTGAGAGCAAGCCAAGCTCCAGCACGGTTTCAGCAGTCTGTTTGCAAAAGCAGACGGTCATCATTACTAAATATTGACATGGTGCTGAAACAGAGAAAGCTTAATAAAACCACGGAGATCATTAGCAGAGGGATAGCAATGTAATGCAGCGCATTGCCTTTCTTCCTGAGTAACTCAGTCCAGCTCTGGACCCAGTTTAGGGCCTGAAGCTGTGTCTTGGCAGGGGCAGAGGCAGTCCCTGGCCAGGGGTGCAGGCTGGGGCAAGGCAGGCACGCTCAGCCCAACAGGCCTGCTGGGGGGGATCCTCATTCACAGCTTGACTGCTGTAAACTCTGGGTCTTCCGCAAAGAGGTGTCCGTGCAAATAAACGGGAAGTGTCAGACTTCTCACATCTGCTTTAGCCAAGGACCTTGTTTATTTGCTTTAGGCTGAAGCCAGTGTGCTGACAGAGGGGCTCTTCTGTTGAAAGAAGTAAGTGGTGAATTTAACCATTGCTGAGTTATAGAAGAGGAATATGGACATTTTTACAGCAAGGCGTAACGCTACAATACTTTAATTTCAGGAATGACCGTTTGGGTGTTTCATTGCCATACTCTACTACGTTTAGTTGTGTGTGATAGACTGTCAGGATTGAGAACCATCGTATCTGCAACTTTTTTGTCTCAGTAGAGTGGCTACTCTTGCAGTTCTTCAACATGCACGCAGGCATCTGATAATACTGCAGCACATTTCAAGGGCTGAGTTATGTACGTGCTTTTGCTGGAAATAAGGGCTAGTTCTTTCACCAGTTTCAAAACTACAGATGTAGGCAGCTTATATCAAATGTACGTATAATCACTGTTCATGTTTTGCAGAAAAAGGTTTTCCTCATTTCCTAATTTTAAACCTAACCATTTTTGACAAGGGAAGGTTTGCAGTAGTCAAATAATGGCCCTGGGACTAGATGCTTTAGCATTTCCTGAATTTCCATTCACGTTTTTTAGGAGCATTTGTTTTCAAGCCAGAGACCAAGCTTTTCCTTTTAGAAAAGTTCCCTTTTAGAGAAAGAGGGGAGAAAACCCACCGGGAGCATCTACTGAAATGTACAGTTTTATAATGTAATATACGGAGTTTAAAGTCCTATGCAGTAATTGTTTTATGCGTGTCACTTTAATTGGTATTCCATGTCATAATTGTTTCTTACAGGTTGATGTTTAGAACTTTTCATGCATAGTCTAGGTGAAAAAAATAGCAGCTGTTGCTGTGGTTATTTAGGGCTTACAGTTAAGTACATGATTTTCTGCTTTGTGCCAATGCTGGTGCACTTAAGATTTGTATGGATTGTTTTCCTCATGAAATAATTGCTGGAAAATGCATCTCTGCCTCAGTTGAAAATACATATATTTTGTTATTTGTTTTTAATTTGGAAGCTTCAGCATGCTGCAAAACCAAATGAGTTAAGTAAGAACTTTTGGCATGCTGACAACAATGCGAGAAGGAACTGTCTTTTGATATTGCAGCATATTTTGTATTTGGGTTTCTCATTTTGAAATAGCTGTTCATTGATTGCTTGGTTTATTTTTTTATTTGTTGCCCATGATCCATTTTCTCATCATTATATTCTGCCTATAATTATGTAAAAACAAACCAACAAACATGTACGTTGTTAAAAAACCCACTCTGGACTGTCATCTCTTAGATTACTTAGGAGAGTGCTATAGAGCTATCTTTTCAACTATATGCTTGCAAAATCACAGTGGATTTACTTTCTAGAAACACTGGTTTTCCAGGTGCATATAGGTACTCATTAAAGATCTCCTACTATGGATAATTCTTTTGAGGTGCATTACTGTTGGGTTTTTGGGTTTCTTTATGTTCGTTTGCAGTGCTCTGTTCCTATTACAGAATCCCTAACAACAACGTTCTGTCGCATTTCTTTTGTGCAGGAGGTCGTAACGAAGTTGTCATCACTGAAAATAACAACAGCATAACTGAACAAATCACTGACGTTGTCAAACAGCCTGCCTTTATAGCTGGCATCGGTGGTGCCTGTTGGGTAATTCTGATGGGGTTCAGCATCTGGCTGTACTGGCGCAGAAAGAAGAGGAAGGGGCTCAGCAATTACGCTGGTAAGAACAGTAGCTGTTTATTGCCATCTCATCAGGTTCTATCGTGAACAAGACAGGTGCTGTTAAACCTACTTTAAAAAACATGTTGAACTCACTTAAAGGTGGCCTGGGTGAATTTTGAATGCTTGTTTTAAATGTATGCTGTGAAAATGCTGGTGTATGAGAAGCTTTAAATGCATTGCTCGGTACCACATTTCATCATTATCATAAGACAGTCTTTATTTTTACATCTCCAGCACATCTCCTCTGCAAAGAGGATTAACTGTTCCTCTTGCTTCCTGCTCAGAAGGCACTCTGTTAGCAGTCTGGCTCCATTTATGTGCTCAAATGTGAATTAGACTAGACCCTCGTAAGTAAGGTTAGAAAGCGTATTTGGCCGTCTTCTTCATTCCCATGCATTTCCATGTCTTTGAAGCTATGTGCATGGGAAAATAATGGAGGTACTTAATTAGTGACTCCATACGTATACCTGGAGGAGAAGAGAGTGATGAATTAGACAGAGAAGTGTGGTCAAAATTTACCTATGGCAGAAGCTTTAAAAAGTGTTGTCTTGGAGGTAGAACACCTCGGAATGCCCTCACGGTGTGATCCCTCTTGGACCAAATGTGCTGTTCCAGCTACAAATTAGTTTTTGAAAACCATGTATTTATGGGTTTGATTTATGAATAAATATTTCATATTTATTTATGAAAACTATATATTTTAAAAATAAATACATTTGACAATTGAAAGTATTTTCTTCTTCCCCAGCCTGTTTTTGTGTATTATTCTGTGCTTCGAGAGTCTTACAGATTTTTTAGGAAGTCAGGTGAATTCCTGTAAAATGGGTAACTCTGAACCCTAATTTAACACCACAAAGCTGTTCTTCAAATATCGGGGTTGGTTCTCTTGTAGAGAAATTTCCTTTTTAAGCAAGATTAGCACAGTTGAGGGCACAGTGTATTTAATGTTGACATGTATCACACTCAAGTTACACAAGTACTCTTCTATTTACAAGTTATCACATGCAAAACCAAGGACTCAGGTTCCCTAAGTGGATGAGCACCTGTAACAACTTGCCAAAACCCCAAAGTTCATTCCCTCCTCTCAGCCAAACAGTCCTATGCCTACTTAGCTTTAGCCATCATCAGCCTTATTGATGTCCAGACTAGGCTCACTAAACCAAATAGAAACTCTTCTATGCTCTTTTTCAATCCTTCCCACTGGATTAGTCTTCCCTTGGCTTAGTGAAACAAGGCAGCCCAAGAAGAAATCAGATGAGCAGTGGAAGCAGAGGGAGAAGAGACCCTTTCAGTGGCTCTTGGGCTGACTTTGATTTTGTGGAACCTCACCTTGCATCGCCATGTGGCCTGTGTCATTTGTAGGTTATGCTTTTTGCTGAGGCGTTTTCTGATTTCCTTTAGCAGCGATGACTTTTACTGTCTGAGAGGTGGGGTGCTCTTAATTGAGAAACTAATATATATCACAGCCACCCACCCATGTGTTTCTATGAAGTATCAGTCTAGATCCCGAGGTATTTCATATGGAGAGATAGCTATACTGTTACTGCTCTTAGGGAACAGTCCCATGGATAAACTGTGGACACAAACTAAGACTACTCTGTCTTTTTTTTTAAAGCAGGATTATTAGCCCATTGTGTGGGTTGGCATGGTGGGAGGTGGGAGGGCACAGAGATTGAGAGCAAAGTCTTGTATACTTTAAAATGCAGAGCTGTAAATAATTATAATAGTCATTATAAACAGTGTGTCTCCTGCGACTCATTGCTTCTCGTAGTGTTTGCTGCATCTAAGTGTGATGTGACCATTGCATCATGCCATGGAATTCTCATCGTTACAATTATGAAATAGTGTATGCTTTCAGCAAGGGAAGTTGATAACAGATCATGCTTCAGAATTCATCCTAATGTTTACAATTTGGAGAACAGCATGGCCACACATAAAATCTTCAAATATGACTGTCAAAATTCACCCCTCACTTTTCCAACCATCATTTCTCATTGGCTGTTGGCTGGTTAGTGCTTTAAGCTCAACTGTTATGTCCTGCTTATGATATTCAGTCACATCTGAGTAAATTCCAGAGGAAACTCGTGCCCTGCTATTAGCGCTTATTATCAGGGTGTGTAACTCACAATGTGTTTGCTTTCTTGTTTTGCAGTTCAGTCCTTCACCTTCACCCCTGCAGGTACTGTCCATTAGTCTGTCTCTTACCTCACCAACACGTCATCGCAAACATTAACGATGTGTTCACAAACATGTGAGAGATGCAGAATTAAAACCAGATACAAGGAGAAATACTTGTGCTGCCTATCCACGATAAGAATGTAGCATTCATTCTCCTAGTGATTCCAGGGGAACATAAACTCTATCACCATTAATGTCTCTGTCGTTATAATTCTGCATACTGCTTACTCATCTAACTCCTCAAAATAATGCAGTTTTGAAAGTAATTTGCAGGACAGGATGCGTGAATTAACATAAAAAGCATTAGTTGTATATAACTGAATTTTTATTTTAAAGCTTAAAAAGATTATCTCAAACATTTTTGAAGATCAAACTGGAGAAATGGAACTTTCTCTCCCCTTCAGCTGTTAGTTGTGCATAAGCTGACCTTACTGTGAGGTGTTAAAATCTTCAATCAGTCTAATGATTAACCTATGCACGCCTTGCTTTTACAGTGTTTTTGAAATGGAAGCATTTGCTTTTTTTCTGCCCATCCAATTCAGATTGCTGATATCCTAGTTTTCATATCTTTAATAAATGTGGCATATGGTAGACCATTATCATAAGCATGATTAAAGATATGTGAAGAATAAACGAAATGTGGCTGAAACAGCAGGTTGCAAACATCTTAGTCAACATACGGATAGCCAAGAAAAATAACGTGTACAATTAATAGTAATAATTAATGCAAATAATTAAGCTTCTGCTCTCATACCTAAGCTCAAGATTGAAAACTCAAAAATAATTACATCTCAGTGTAAAAGGCTGATAAATCTCAGCATTGCCCAGCAGAAGTCTGTAAAGTTTTTTGCATATAGCTTGGCCACTTGGTGGCATTTACCAAAGCTGTTTCTTCTGTCCCCTCTGCCACCCATGGGATAGAGGCCAGTCTTCCTACTGCACTCCTGAACCAGCCTTCCTGCTCAGCTGGCTGCATTCTCGCTCTTGCTTGTATCTTCAGCCACAGCCTGAGTGTTTAGCTGAGCAGGAAAGAGCAGATGACTGTCGAGGCAGATAAGTCAAGGTGGTGGTGTCTGCTCCAGGGGCCTGTGACATCGTGAGGGAGAAGTGTCCTCATGGAGAAGCTCTGGGGTCTCAGGAGTTGCTACTCTAGCTTCCAGGCAGGTTTGTTCAAGTTAGTCTAAGCTGTGGTGCAGCACATCCTACCCTAAACAGTTTACTTGCTTTTCTCTGAGACACAACATGGGATTTTTTTCCAAAATGAAGTAATGCATCTTTGCATTTGGTTCCTTTGATCATGCTGAGGTCAGTTGTCAGTAACTGTGGTGAGGTTTTTCTTGGTGACATACCTTGGCATGACATGGGCTTGTGCTGGAGCCACAGTGACTGTGCATGATTCAGTGCACTTGATCCACATGTGCTGGGCAACTAGAATATGTCAGAGACACTGCCAAAAATGTGCTTTATAGAATTGTAAGAGCACATAGGTCTGTTTCCTGGCCTGTAACCATTTCTGGAGGCACCGAGAACCTGAGCCACCCAGGAGGCAAGTCCAGAAAAATATCAGTAATCTAAAAAACCAGTTGGTCTTATGGAAGAACATAGTCTGTAGTTTTTACCTTGACATTCAGAGTTCCCTAAGAAACGTTGCTAGTTCTCTAATATTTGAACTTTCCATTGGTAATATCATTTAGACCAGTATGTCTATGCTTGTGGAGGTTTGACAGTCCTCACGAGTGTATGTTGTTCCCTGTGAAGTTATGATTCATAAACAGTTCGGTTTCAGATCCAAATATTTATAGGCAGTGGTATGTAGCTTTCAGACTCTCATCAGAGACAGCTGTCAGTAAAGTTTTACTAAATATGTATTTATCCTAATATACTCCAATTTTAGAAGGTGCACAGTTTTTGTTCAGACATCTGCTTCCTTCAGAAAGTTGCAGAACGTGCAGATTTGACTCTGTAATAGAGAGAATCAAATGTATTAGTGTAACATTCATATACTTCCTATTTCAGGCACAAAACAAAAACTTGTGTTTTTTTCAGTTATTTCTGATGTAAATGGTTTTTGTTGTTTTTCTTCAGTTATATTTGCATATATGTAGAACTTAAAACACTAAAAATAGTTGTTTTAAAGTCTGGGTTTTGCAGTTGCGTAATTACTTGCAAAACATGTTCTTTTGGGTCATTTTCAGATTACGGGTGATTCACTGGGACTATTTTATTATTTCTGTTCTGTTATTAGGCTCCTAAGAGGTGTGACTGAAGTACTTTAACACACTCTGTAGGAGAAGAGCAAACAGCAAATACCACACAATTGGTAAAGATTTATGCCAGAGAAGAGTGAATTTAAATTCATTAAAGCTTTCTGTCTTTGGGAACATTTTCATAAGCACTGATCAGTTGCTCAGATGGTCACAAATAAAGTGACATTGAAAATCGTAGCTTCTTACTCATTTTCAGTAGTTACTGAGCCACAATTCTGCACAACACTATTTCTCCACTTCCCTTTCCCCCACCATGACTCACCAGGCACTGCTGGCAATTCCAGTACTACAAAACATATCATTTTTGACAATGTCTGTTAGATTACTGCTGGTAAGTAGTAGTGTCATGTGCAGCTCTGCAAGGAGTGTACATTTTCAGGACCATGATGTATTATCATCAAAACCAAATCTGGCACAGACACAATGAATATAACCGTTAGCCCTTTTCAGTTGTCTGAAAAGTGATAGCCGACCAATTCTCATGTAATAGGTTAATTATTTTGTTCCTGTAGTACAGTGATGGAACAGAATTTGTTCATTTTGTACTGGAAGTTGCAATTCTCTTTTCACAATTTGGTGTAAGGACTTGTACAACGAAGGCATGGAATCCATCGGTAGAAACAAGAGCAATTTCATTTATCTGCTTATCTTGCCTGCGCCCTCACACTCATTGTTGTGCCAGTACCCACTCACTTGAATACTCGGGTGTTTCAAGTGTTTAGCCCCTGAGTCATGCAAGGAAAGTAAAGACATATTTTCACTTTGAGTAGGCAAGCTTACATAGTGACTGGTGCTCCTTGGGATTAAAGATTCCATGAGACTGAGTAAACAAAGCCAAATTAAAAATAGAGAATTATGGAATGCTACACATCTTGTGTGCTGCTCCTGGAACTGTTAAAGAAGGATAAATTGTTTGACAGAATCATCCAAAACTAGACAGAAGATTTGATGGAATTTTTATATGCTGATTATCTGTTCTGAGCTAATGCGTATTAAAAGAGGATTAATCTACATTCGTATTTGAGGAACAGCTTATCAGAAAAAGGAACGAGGCTTGGCAGGCACCATTAAAGTTTTCATTTGCAGTAGGAAAATGTGGCCTACTGGAGATAGGCATGCAGAAAGCTTTCTAAAGCTTTCGAAAGCTTTCTTGCCTCAGAATGTCAACTTACTATATATTCGTATTTTTCCAGTTCTACCAGGCATGAGGATTAAGTTCACCCTTGTCAGATAATATTAGTAAATGGTTTGGGTACCTCCTTATATATTTAATAAAAAGCATGTGAAAAGCTCCTTAACGTATGCTGTTCTTCAGACAAACATATACAATATAATTTCCTTAAATATTTATGCATTTAAAATGCACTTTGGATTATATTTCTGCATTTTTACAGTCCTTGAAGTATAAGCTGGTGGGGATTCCTTCAAAATCTCTCTATGCAGAGGCTATTTTTTCATCTTCTTTTGAAAACCAATCTCATCCCTGCAGGTCTTCAGCCTTTCTAAGAACATATATCAGATGCAAAGACTGCTGAAAGAGCTTTTTTGCTTCCTCGGTGATAAAAAGCCAGGGAGATGGGTGGGTCAGGGATAGGGACATCCTTCCCTTCCTTCTCTTGCATTGCCCCTTGAAATTGCTCTTCTTTTTGAAGTGGAGACAGGATGAATAAAGCCAGCTGTCTGTGTGTTTTATTTTTGCAGTGACATCTACAAGCCTGCATTGCATTAAGCATGCTCCTATTCAGGCATTTAGACTTGTTTTGTAATTGCAGAAATCAAACTGCAGGCAAAACTCCTGACAAAACGTACGGCAGGAATGATAAACATAGTGCTTTTGTTGGCAGCCTGACCATATCTTCTGTTGTTAGCTGTCGTTCCTTTCACAATATTGATTCTAAAGGAAAGGCATCTTCTCTATCCTGCCTCAGGTAGCCCATTTATGGATGGCATCAGGAATATGATTTTTTTTTCTTTACCATCCTGCTATGCCCGCATTTCAAGAGGAATTTTGCCTAGTTTAGTTGATATTCTGGAGCCTTTTCCACCATGAATAGTAACTAAAATACTTTCTTGTTTATTTTCTCATGAAGATTATAACCACCCGTGCACTGGTACACAGGGTGGAGTGCAAGCAAAAGAGCCTGTATTCCTTCCCAGTTCCAGGCACATCATATAAGCCAAGCACAGGCTTATGCAGGAAAAACAATGTCACTGCAAGACAAGTTCTTTTTTTAATAAATTAAATTGAATCTTTCTTCTAGAAAGAGTGCTTATGTTGGGAGGGTGTAAGGTTATTTTATGTAGGAAAAAGCCAGGAAACAGTTACTACAACCAGTATACGCAGAAGTAAATGGTGTGATACCTATCTCATCTCAACATACTCATATGCCACAGCCAATCTGCAGCAATTACAGCTCTAGCAAAGAGGTTTCGATGACATGTCTTCCTGATATGTTTCTCTCAGCATACCTTGCAGTTTTTTCCATACCTCACTACACTGCAAATAAAAAGTGCCTGGCAAACACTGCTGCAATCTCATACTAGCTCCCCCATTTCAGCTTTATTTATAAAGGTACACAAGGGATATAAATATTTTGAAGGCCCACAAGTATTGATTTTTTTTCCCCCCATGGCATTAAATTCTCACACACCTGTATGTGCTATACAAGTAGTGACAATATTACTTTACTGTTATTTCTGGTAGATGATAGTTTAAACAACAGCATTAATCCCAAGAAGTTTTCAGGAAATACATTTTACTAGAACTCCCTTAAATCTGTAAACTTCATTTGTAAGGGTTGTTAGCAAATATACCTTTGTTTCTCACTTTCCCTATTTCTTGTCACTTTGACAAATGCAGAAAGCTGGAGAAATGGAGTGCTAAATTTGAAGGGGAGGAGGAGAAAGGAAGCAGCATCTAATGTGCTTTGACCAACACACTTTTAAACATAGCCAGACAGTACCCACCTCTTTGCATATTCACACGTGATATCCACAGCACCTCAGATTATTCATTTTTAAGCAACGAGAGGTACAGTCATTTGACAGCCTATTAGAAACAATGTGAGTGAAAGTAGCATCAGCTCTAAGATTAATTAGCTGCAATGTTTTACCATGTCTTGTTTTTCAAAGCAGACTTTTATTTAATACTTCCCATACTTTGCATTTTGATTTTCTTTTCATTAATTGGTTTGATTACATCCTTTCAAAATTCAGCTATTAACCATTTTGATGTGACATATGACTGCAGTGATTTTCTGATATTGATATTAGTCTGTTCTGCAGTGAAGGGTAATTAATCACCCTACCCAAGCAGTCTTCCAGCAGTGCTTCCACTGGGGCCAGTTTTGTCCCCTTTGCTTAATGTGAAATTATCCTAGGAGTTAATCAAGTGACAGGGATTCTATAGGGTATCAGAAGGATTATCCCAGTGGATTTATGTCGTTGCTAATTTTTTTAATGATCACAGCATTTCTATTGGCTGTAGTAATTTTGTCTGATTAGGATGGCGTATAATGCAAAACCTGATCTCGAATCAGTGTAGTTTGTTTGGTCTAATATTTGGAAAACCTTGCAAATACTCTGGGAGCTATAATTTAATGATTGGAATGTCTGTATGTTACAAAGGCAAATAGTATTTCCTAACCGAAGCCAATTTGAAATTAAACTGGCCATGGACACTTCCATTCCTCTCTGAAATTCAAACCCTCATCTTGTCAGTGGCCTGTAAGGCTGCAGGTATCCAGAACACTGATATAATTTAATAGTCTGCCTTATCTATGCCTGACAATAAATAATGGGATATTGCCACTGAGAATGAGAGTAGTCTGTTGGCCTTGATTCAAAATATTTGCCAGTGCTTCAAAAAGGAGCATCCAGTGTTGTCAATTAGCATCTCGCCAGTAATGTGGGTTTACCTATATTGCCCCGAAATGTAATCCTGTTAATATGAAAGATAAGGGATAGGCTGGTTTTTGTCAAACACCGTGAATGGGGCCATAAAAACAATTGTCTCCCTCTGAATATGTCCTTGGCAAGACTGGAACCACATTTTGTTCCCAGTGATACTGGCGTGTATGCATTTATGTGTGGATGCTGGTTCTTATACTGTACTTCTAATGGAAACAGTGCAGCTCTGTGCTTTTTCTCACCCCTTCAGCTCCAATAGAGCTGCCACCTCTTTGTATTTGTCCTGGGAAATGGCATATTTGTGTGGTGACATTATATTACTGCATTACGACACGATATTAACTCGGTGGTGCAATGTCATTATGTACTGAAGAAAAGCATGCCAAGAAAACAATTTCATCACATGGCTCAGTCTTGCAAAGCAAAGTCATATGAAGGGGCCTGTGGTAAATTCAGGCCTTTTGCCCAGGCGACAGGTTTGCCTTGCAGGCTACAGAGCAAATTGATGTTAATCAATAACGTGCAGTGAAATCCAAAACAAATTGTAACCCTCATGTGTTTGATGCTTTTCTCACCATTTCTGTACTGTATTATGTGAGGATGCCAAGAGGCCTCTGATCTTGGACGCTGAGCAGTTTGAATTGTTACTTTTAATTATTACTAATTAATTTTTCCCTGTCTTATATGTGTGTGCGTGTGTGTGTGTACGTTTGTTTGTTTTGTGTTTCCAACCAAAACACAGTCACTTTCCAAAGAGGAGATGGAGGACTAATGAGCAATGGAAGGTATGTTGCTTTGTATAAGGGTTTTTCCATCGTGTTAATTGTTAAAATTAGGCATCTGAAAAATGCTATAGGTGATGCACTTGGGTCATAACCCATTGGGAAGACTGACAACGCTAGGAGGAGTTCAGTAGCTTACCACAGGGTTTAATGACCTGTCTGCTGTGCACTTTGGAGGAATCAAGCCCAGATGTTTCATATCTCCCTGATGCCCTGGAAGCAATGAGTAGTAAATATCAGAAGGAATGTGTTCATTTGTTACTGGGATGTTTATTGCATTAATTAGACATTAGCAGATGAAGTTGCTGTTGTTTAAGACTCCTTATTGGCTCCCCTTAAATTGCTGTGAGTGAACAATTACACTTAATCGATCACAAAATAAATGATTCATGGATGATGAATAGGCTGTAGATTGATAGGACTGGATTCCACAACTTTGGCTACTCAATTGAAATTGATAAAAGCTGATAACAGGCCCATATATCCTCATCTATTTTCCCTTTGCCAATATGGAGATTGTAATTAGGCCCTGGTAATAACTTCCAATCTCCCATTTAATCAATATTTTAGCAAAAAGAGATTAGGCCTAATGAGAGCGAGTAGATGTGGCAAGAAGGCGGATGGGTCGTCTTATTGCCGTTGCCATAGAAACCGATGTTTCTCTTAGGGATCATACCAGGCAGGGGTCTATAACGTACAATGATCAGAGATGTTGCTCCGACTTCATGAGTGCATTAATAACCTGGAAAAGCTGCAGAAGTGTGGACGGGGTTTGTTTTCATTTAGGGGAAGGGGATATCTGCAGGAAACGATTTGTTTTCCGTGTTAAATACAAATACAAACACTCCACCTGCCCTGCTAAATTTCTGGCTGTTTATCCTGGAGTGAGCAGGACATGGTGCCTTATGGCCCAAGTCTCTTTCAACATACTCGCTGTTTAATACTGCTCTCAAAGCTGGGAATTACAGGGATATAAATGCCGTGCAGTAGTGGCACTTAAAGAGAGCTGTGGATTTTCCATTTATCCTACTCAAACCTGCTTGCCTCTAAACTACCCAAGAGTGCTCAAAGAAACAGTTGCCAGCCTGTAGATGACAGGCATGCATTTGGGATGCAAGGGAAGGAAGAAATAGTAGCCCAAAGTCCTGGAAATGGCTGATATGGAGCAATCAGTTTGAGTGATGGCTCCCTTGAGGTGATAATTTATCATGCAGCCCTGGTGTAGGATCCCATGATGGTGCTGCCTAACCCCTGTTTCACATAGACAACTGAGTTCATTTGGATTCTGGCAGAATCACAACGGATGCCTAGTCCCACTTCTGCTGACAAAGTTGATTTGTATATAACCTTAATTAACTGCTCAAGGTCTTTAAATCATCAAAGGCTGCACAATTTTAATTTGAAAGAAATGAAAGTCTCCTAAACTGTTTGTTACCCACAGTGTTAGGAGAACAGTGATACAGCCTCTTCTATCACTAGTTGTCTCATAGATATTTTAATTTTGTAAGTGTATCTGTATATATCTGTATGTATATCTTTTTTTCTGTTCTGCTTCAGTCGACCAGGTCTGTTGAATGCAAGTGACCCCAGTTATCCTTGGCTTGCAGACTCTTGGCCTGCCACAAGTCTGCCAGTAAACAACAGCACTAGTGGACCCAATGATCTTGGCAATTTCGGTCGTGGAGGTAGGTTTCCTTTTATTAATTCACTGTATACTACACAATAGAATCATAGGATGGTTTGGGTTGAAGGGACCCTAAAGACCATCTAGTGCCAACCCCCCTGCCATGAGCAGGGACACCACACACTAAACTTTTTCCACTAGACCAGGTTGCTCCAAGCCCCTGTCCAACCCTTGAACACTTCTAGGGATGAGGCAGCCACAACTTCTCAGGACAGCCTGTTCCAATGTCTCACTACCCTCACAGTGAAGAATTCCTTCTTAATATCTAATAAAAATCTATCCTCTTTCAGCTTAAAGCCATTCCCCCTTGTCCTGTCACTACACGCCCTTGTAAAAAGTCCCTCTCCAGGTTTCTTGCACGCCTCCTTAAGGTATCAGAAGGCTCCTGGAGCCTTCTCTTCTCCTTCTGTTAGTTAACACCTATGGTAAACACTGTGTATTATTTTCATTGTTATAGTTATTTCTATGTTTGACTCATGATTTGATGTAAAATTGAGTTTAGAATGCTCATTTTGCTTTGCCTCTTTCTACTTCTTTAAAATGTAGGTCTAGTTTGTAACTTACCCCACAGTGGTGAGGCAGGGTCTCAAGAGAAATATATCTGTTGCTCAAACTCATTACCTCTTACGTGGAGAAGAGCAATCTGCTGTGCAGGGCCATGTAGCCAGGGATAGAGGATGGCCATAACAGCAGAGAACTCAGGGGACGCAGGAAGGATGTTCCTTCAGCAGAAGGACAGAAGAACATTGCTGCTATCAGCTTACCTATCCTCATCCTGAGGGACTACTCTCAATCTCAATCATAGTCCAAGAAGAAGACTTCAAAAGTCTTCAGAATCTTTCCTTCTTGTTGGAGGAAAAATATATAAAGGGGGGAAAACATTTAGATTTTTTAGGGGTTTATTTCCATTTTGAATTGAGAGAGACCCGTCGGGGAGATTGAGGTAGTGATTTATAATTAAGGTGATGAATCTTTAGAGGGGTTATTTTCTTTCCGACATTCTACTTAGATGGGAATTTCAAGATGTGTGATTGGGATTTCTAAAAGTGATAGTAATCTCCACATCTCTCTTACTTCCTTGGTTTCTGTGAGGTTATAGCACAGTTCTCCATAGTGGTATTCACAAGACTTCCTAATGTAAATGAGTGTAGAAGTATTTTTAAGCCATAAATAAGAAAACAAAAATCAAGACAACTTTATATATCAAAAATACATTAAAATGCAAAAAATCTATAAAACCGTCAAGTTGATAAATGTGAAAAGAATTCATGTCTGAAGTGTACCAGAATCTGCTTCTGAAAACCATCCCTCACATTGGTTATATGTTCCCATACAGAACTTCTTGCCTGTGGTTTGACTACCGTGGCTTCAAATTGCAGCAAAACACTCTAGATTTATTTTCCATATAAAAATGTTGTAAAGCTTGTCTTACAAAAGTATTTTAAAGTAAGCAAAACTTTCTAAACTATTGAGAAGGCAACTGAATATCTGCCAGCTTCTTTGTTGTGAATATCTTGAAAAGAAAACCCTTCAGTACTTTTCCATCTTCTCTTAAGCTCACATAATACAGAAATATTACCATTTTTACCATTTTCTTTTAGCATTTGGCTTTATGCATCTGAATTGGAAGCATGTCTTAAAGCTTTTGGCTTCAATGTGGATGAGGCATAGATCCAAATTTGTCCAAGTGATGCAACAGTTATATTTTGAAGTTCAGCAGCTTAATTCCACCCATGATCTTTACAGTTGAGCTCATACTTTTATTCTGGCTGGTTTGGGACCACTTATCCCTCTCTGTTTCAGCAGCTGAGTTTGGACACTTCTTTAAAGATGGATTACAAGTCAGATGTCATGTTAAACATGAATTAACTGCATAGGTAGAACTTGGGCCTTTTACTGATTAAAAGGTCTGTGAGAATATAAAAGGTCTCTAAGAATTTTGAAAACAGTAAGGTGGCAACCAGTCACTCTGGAGACTCAGAAACTGAGGCAGGCACTTCTAACATCGCCTTTAAGAGTGAAATATGTTGTGTCCTAGATAGGCGTTTGAGAGCAACACTGTGAGTAGGACGCATAGTTTAGGTTTGGAGATGCACATGGCCACAAAATGGTACTACATCTCCTGAGGGGGGAGGAAAGACCTTCCCCAAGGAGTCCTTCAGCATTATTTCATTTATTTCAAGAGTTACAAAACAAGGTGGATTTTGGAGAGTTTTTGGGAAAGCATCCAGTGGGAAATGTGCCTTCATCTTTGGTCTGAAATGTTCCGTGTGGGGTTTTTTGCTATGATGACATGGTGGGCAAATCACACTTGATTTTTACTAAGTGATTATGGCACTCTGTAAAATGGCACTTTAATAGTTCTTTGAGTGCTTAGTGTACACATCTCCTTGTGGTCAAAAAGGTAATCTGTGGTTGCACTGGAAATTCCCAGAAGGTCTGGAGGACCTCATCTTATTAGTAAGAATGACTGAAAATTCTTGCCTGGTGGGAAGCTATGCAACTTCCCTTTCAAGTGTTTGTACATGTATAGTTCTCCATTTTAAAATGACTCTGTAGAGATGGTACTTCTTCAGTTGCCTGGAATGTGCTCTAAAGATAGACCTATGTCTGAGTACTTGAGAGATGGGACATTTTGCTAATTTTCTCTTCTGTGAGTCTGCAAAGCCAACACAGACAGCTTGAGCTGGACTTTCTTCATTTTATACATCAAACAGAATTTATTTACTAAACTTCAATCCACTTTACTTTGACAAAACCAGTTGTGGAAAGTAAAACATTCCTTGTTTTGAATGAAATGCAGGGAAGATAGGACTGCACTTGTTTCTCACATCTCATGCTGTATTTGCACGTAGATGTTTCTCTGATTGTGTACTGCCCCTAGAAAGCACATTGGATGTGTGCAGATAGATAGTAATAACCCGATGAAATATGGCCTGTAGTTTGCATTCACTGTAATTATTATTTTATTTTTCACTTACATTTTATCTGCAGATAGAAGTTAATACTATTAAGGCATTTTAAATACTTGATTGTGTCCATTTCCCTGTTGTTGTTGTTGTCTGCAAAAACAGATCATAATGATAGACCCAAATTTAATATCTGTTTCTGTAGCCTCTCTACTGAGCACTTGTTATTGCCATATTTATTGTTAATATTATGTTGTTGCCCTGGGACTGCAGATGTTACTAGGATCCGTATTAAAATGTTTGTTATTGCACACATGAATGCAGTAGAAAATAGTACCAAGTTCTAAATGGTCATCCCAGGGAAAAACAAAACAACCCAAATCCCCTAAAAAACAGTGTGAGGGAGGCATGGTATCATATCTCATTGCTGGACAAGTCTTGAAACTGAGAGAAAAACTGTATTCTGTAACGTATAAAACTCATATCTGAGTCTGGAACTGAACCTAAACTCTTGTCTAGGTGCAAAAATCATCTTTTTCTCTCTGGAGCTTAAGGTATGTAAAATGCCTGTGATGCCTGGAATGGTATCTGAGCATCCTTGCTATAGGAGTACACATTTTCTCAAGTGTGATCTAAGAGCTGGAATCTGTATCTGCCATTCAGCAAGCAAATGGCATATAAATGATGTGTTTTTCTAATAAGTGAATTCCAAAATGGATTTAACTTTTCGGAGTTTAGATAAGTTGTAAGAATTGATCCATTTGATGTATTGACCTCAGAGACAGCAAGAAAAGGGTTATCTGCTGAGCTGTGGTTCTCCTTGGGACATCACGCCAGTCATCATTAGATTCTTCACACTTCACTAATCTCAGCTTCTAAATCTAGTATTCCACCAGCAAAGGTCACTACAATGTTTAGTAAGGAGAGAGATTGCCAATCTAACTGATTAAAGGTACAAATTGCAGTGTGTGATAGGATTCAAAAGATGTAGGAAAGTCAACAGATACTTAGTTAAATATGCTGTACTATTTTTCAGGTAAATGTACTGGAGTACTTGAGCAAGCTGTTCTCCATTATCGACACTGCTTTGCCATTTAAAGAGACTAATCACTTAAATCCCTTCAAAATAACAGATTTTCTTACACGTAATGGGAACAACTTGGCTTTGTCAGGTTTTTCTTCTGTGGAAAAGGAGAAACATACTAGCTAATGTCAAAAAGAAAATGAGATAAACTGGTGCATAAAACTTCAAGGAAGTCAAGGTGATGGCCTTAAAAAATCACTTTGAGAGCTTTGGCATCCATTTAACAGTTTTGCTACATATTTACTGGGAGAGTTTTCTCCGTAGTTTGTAGATTCACTCCTTTCATCATTTTCCTGAAGCCCAGACAGTTTCATTGCTTCTGACATAGAGTGAACAATTGAAAACATTCTTCAGTAGAGAAATATTCCAAACTTCCTTTCCACAGTTGAAGGTATGGAAAAAGAAAGAAAAAGATGGTTTTAGGCAGTGAGACGTGAAGGACAAGTGGTAGGCTTGTCACAGATGCTGATAGTTTGGCGATGGTTGTACATCATCTTCCCTTCGTTGGCTCATGGACCTGTCTCAGCTGAAATGCAAACGTGCAAAATGACACATTTATTTTTCATCCTAAACCTTGATACTTTCAGGCTTCCTGTGCCTCAGTGATTTGTTTTGTTCCCCTATGTTCACCACAGATGTGCTGCCACCAGTGCCAGGGCAAGGAGATAAAACCGCTACTATGCTTTCTGATGGAGCCATTTACAGCAGCATTGACTTCACCACGAAAACTAGTTACAACAGTTCCAGCCAAATAACGCAAGCTACGCCATATGCCACCACCCAGATACTGCATTCCAACAGCATTCATGAGCTGGCTGTCGACTTACCTGATCCTCAGTGGAAGAGCTCAATTCAGCAAAAAAATGACCTGATGGGATTCGGTTACTCTCTCCCAGAGCAAGGCAAAGGCAACAATGGTAATTACAGCTCATGTTTTCCAGAGCCCTTATAGATGCATCTATGCATGAATTAGAAAGTTCTTTTTAGTATGTGAGATGCTGTTCATATTTACCATAACTAATGCTTACATGCCTTGCATGCGTGCTGAACCTCACCACCATCACAAAGTATATCGTTCTGTGCTTTTAACTCTCTCTGTCCTGTGCTAATCACCAAGCCATCTGCCTTCCAGTAGGCTAGGACAGGTATACACTTAAAAGAAAATGAATTAAAACTTGCTGCCCCGCCGCATCTGACTTGCTAACTGCATGTGTTGCATGTGCTTGTGCTGTCAACTAATCACACGATGCCACTGTGACCTTTGCTGTTTAACCCTTAGCCTTGCTTTACATCCCTGACTACCGCGTGGCTGAGGGATTGGCTAATAGATTGCCACACAACCAGTCACAGGATTTCAGCACCACCAGCTCCCACAACAGCTCTGAAAGGAGTGGCAGCCTCTCAGGTTGGTTCCACCACCATGGGTGGGTGAGGGACGGAGGGGTCTCGGTCAGCAGCTCGCCAGGGAGGTGGAAAACCTCTCACGTGCGCTTTGCGGATAGGAGCGAGGGCAGCCGCCCACCGGAACATCACCAAGTGGTGTCACGTTGGCCTCTACGGAAAAAGAAAGCCTTTTGCAAAACCTATTTGGAGATAATTGGAGAATCCTCACACCCACTGCTTGTTTGTGCAGCTGCATTCCTTGCCTTGTCACATCCCTTCCCTGACAGTACAGTTCACGGAGCAACTCTATTTCCACATCAATCCTCACTTTATAGATCTCTCCACACTGAACTGCATAAGGAGACGAATATTTTTGTTGAGTTGTTAACAGATTCCCCACTCCCACGAGCTGTTTCTAAAATGCTGGTTTTCAGCGAAGCAGCTCAGAAATAAATGTAGGGCCCTGCAAGATGAGTGGGGTTTCAAAAATTGTGCCAAGTCTGCATAGAAACCAAGTGTAAATTTTATGTGTGTGCCGCGTGTTGCATTGGAAACGTGACACATTCTCATTAGATGAAAATGATTGTGATACACGTGGTTTTGTATTATATTTAGACACACCTTTTTCTTCCTTTCTTTGGTTTTGCTTACTTCTTGCTTATGTATAACTATGTCAAATTTTGTTTTCAAGACAAAACCTGAAAAGCCAGCACTAAAAATGCAAGTCTGCTATTTCATTTAAGTGAAATATGAGATTGCTGAAGTGACTTAAATTTCAAATTCATACTATACCTGTAGCCCTCTGAATTTCCACTCTAAGTTGGAGCAATCCTAACCGTAACAGATCAGCCCTAGAAATGGCTTCTTTATGTCAATTTAAATGACTGTTCAAATTGAACGTTGAGATTAGAGGCCTATAATCATTGACCCATAACTCAAATAGCCAAATGTGTTTGCAGGTCTTGTGTTCTCATAGGGAATATTAGCTGATTTGAGTGAGATCAAAAAATAGGTTTGTGGCATTGACGGAGAGGTATCTGGGAGCTCAGTTCCTATAGTTTTTCAAGGAAGGTTCTTGTTCCTTGTATGTGAGATGTATTGGCAAGTAGCTTAGGAAATTGGCTTGCTCCTCTGACTGCATGGATATGCAAAAATTGATATGCTGAGGTACGTATGTACCAGTTATCAGAGGGCAGTATCACACTTTAGATGTGTTGACAGCTACAGCTGCCTAAGAATTTTCCCAGAAAATACAGAGTTTCGTTGGAAAATATCAGTTGATCAAAAGCTGGACTTTGAACCAGTACTTCAAGGGAAACATAATATTTTGTGTAGTGTTTTCAGTTTGAAGTAAATTTTCTGACAACACATGGAAACTTCAGGTTAGCCAGTCTTTCTATGGCCAGGGCGCTCCTGTTGTGATCAAAGCAGCTCACATCTGGATGCCCCAATGCTCAGATGAGTGTCAGCCTATTGAACTGCAGAGTCAGTATTTTGCTCTCCCTTGCCCGCTAATTATGTCTTTAATACAGGCTAATTATGTCTGTAATATGTGAGAAACTGGGGGAGAGCTTCAAGTGTTCTGACAACTAGAGCATCACTGGAGTCAGAGACCAGCTTTGATTATGTAGTCCCCATCAGGGTGAAGGGATTGTTCTCTCTCTTCCTTTGTTAGTACCTTAAGTACTACTTATTATGCCGACTAAGTTTCTCTCTCTCTCTCAAATGAATATAATGAGAAATCCTATCCCACTGTGGAATGGAAAATAGCTAAAAAATCAACTGCTTTGTGAGGCAGGGAAATTTTGTGGCTGTACTTTGCACAGCTCCCAGCTTATGTCAGTGCTATGATCTTCAGCCCGACTGGCAGATTCTTTTTCCAGGACCTGATTCATCTAGAGATTTAAAGAACATAATTGAATTTCAGTGTGAGGAGACATTGAAACATCAAGCATCATTGCTATGGGGAGACGGAGACATTGAAACATCAAGCATCATTGCTATGGGGAGACGGAGACATTGAAACATCAAGCATCATTGCTATGGGGAGACGAAGACATTGAAACATCAAGCATCATTGCTGTGGGGAGACAGAGGCATTGAAACATCAAGCTTCATTGCTGTGGGGAGACAGAGGCATTGAAACATCAAGCTTCATTGCTGTGGGGAGACAGGGCTTCGGTGCAAGTTTTCAAACACACATCAGGCTTTATGTATTAGGTTCCACTAGTCTGGCAGTGGAGTAGCTTTGCCCATGGCACAGAAGAGAAATCTCCTGCCCAAGCGTACCGTGTAGGCTGCTTTCTCTATCAGTAATGACCTTGGAGTTCCTTTCTTTTATCTCTTCATCTAAACAGTTCCTCAGCTCCCTCTTTCACTCTTTCTGATAGCTCTGTTGTCTTTGACCTTTCCCTCCAAAACCTCCCAAATCCAAGTGTCTGCATACTAGTTCTCCACACATCCAAGCTCCGTTTGACCCATCTCCTGAGATTACCAAGACACTACACTGCCAAAATCTTCCTCTGCACCTCAACTGACCTCTGCATTTCTCGTGAGTTTTCCTAGTTTAAATGCCCCTGCGACACACGTGCACACACTCTTATGCACGTGCTTTCCTCCCAAAGCAGCCCTACCTGCCTTACCTCTTGCTGTCTCTTACTCTTGCTGGCGGGTCGGTGGGAGTGTGATATAGTCAACCTGCCAGGCCTCCCCATACTTGTACTTCAGCCATCGTCCTCCATACCAGAGAGGCTTTAACCACTTGGCTTTCTTAATTGCAGCACGTTTCACATTCATGAATAACCTGGGCAATAGTGTCCATTGTTAAGTCCACCCCTCGATCACGAGCCCATCTATATGTTACATCTCTGCCCTGATGGCCTGAGGTGTCATGGGCCCACCGAGCTAGAAATAATTCACCCTTATGTTGCCAATCTAAGTCCATCTGAGCCACCTCAATCTTAGCAGCTCTATCCACTTGTTGGTTGTTCTGGTGTTCCTCAGTGGCGCGACTCTTGGGAACATGCACATCTATGTGGCGTACCTTTACTGCCAGGTTCTGCATCCGGGCAGCAATATCTTGCCACAGTGCAGCAGCCCAGATGGGTTTGCCTCTGCGTTGCCAGTTGCTCTGCTTCCATTGCTGCAACCACCCCCACAGGGCATTTGCCACCATCCATGAGTCAGTAGAGAGATATCATTCCTTATTCCATGGACCAATCCCTGTAAAGTTGCTGAATTCATCCAGTCCATGATGACTTCTAGAATTCCTGGACGACTGGGATTTCCTGTTTGAGTTTGTTGTGTAATTTTACAAAATTCCTCTATATCCTGCAAATTACACTTAGCATACTCCCTTTGTACTGTTCTGTGACCCAGTTTCTAACTCTGCTTTCTGCCATACCTGTGCTTTGAAAGCTTCGTTTTCCCTCCAGAAGGTTAATTCATTTATTATTTATTTATTATTCACAGCCACCATTGCTGGGGTTCCTTTTCTGTTGATGAAAATGTTCTTTCCCTTCTCAAGAATGCTTCCCTTTCTGCCAGGCTACAAAAAGGAGAAAAGAACCAGTCTTGCATCCTAATAGGTGCAATATCAGCTCAGTTCACACATTGTGAATGACAGGATCTTGGCTGGACTTAACTCTGAATACTCCAAGACAAGGAAGGAAGAGCTCTGGTCTAGAATTGTGTAGTAGAAAGCAAAGTCTTGTTTGCAGTGTGCTGCCAGCCAGGCTGATTAGAAACCTTGCTGGACTCATTGTATGTCCATAGCAGCCAGAACAGGGGGTGATAAGAGAAGACTTGGTTACTTCTGAATCACAGAATCACCTTGTTCTTCCCTCTCTGTTCCAATTTTGGTCCAGCTGACATCTGGAGATAACAGAAGAAAGCCACTGTCTCTCAGATGAAAAGTACTGTGACACGATTCTATCTGCTGCTGGAATTGCACCTCCTTTTGTATGTCTCTGTGGCATGGCTAGAGCCATGGCACAAGGTGTGCTGCCTGCCAATGCACACCGTGTCACCCTGCTTGTTAAGTCAGTTGTGGCTTTTTTGATTCATTGCTGTTGAGAACTTTTTGCATAGGTTTTTTGGGCCGATCCTTATAAATCAGCAAGAGATGTTAGTGGGTAAGATGGATTAGACTGTGCTTTCTGCAACAGGCAAGTGATGAGTGACTGCCAGCTGGGTACCCCACTGAAAAAGCATATGACAGACCATTCTTCCAGCTGAAAATACAGAGGCTTTAAAACCACAACAAAATGGCAGTAAAGCCAAGGGATTCAAAATCTTGTGCCATTCTTTCTCCTAATGAATTCCTGACAAGGAAAAGGAGTCAGGGCAAAATGAAAGAACTGAAACAGGTGGGATGAGAGCTTTCTCTGTAAGATCACTTTCCCACAAATGGAAGTGTCTCAACGGGAGAAGTGGGTACAAGGATGCTAAGAGACGAGAAGAGGGCTTAAGCAAAATGCATTGCTCACTTCATTTCTACTAGCCTTCTCCATTAAAGCCTTCTCCATTCTGATGTACGTATCAGAACTAATACCTCTTCTCCATAGTGGCAGGAGATACTTGAATCCTGTGAAAGACAGTCCTAAAACATTGCAGATGACTTCCTGATGTTTTTAAGAATGGAACTTAGTATCCTACCAGCAAAACGCTGCTTTCCTTTGTTTTGACAACTTACACTTGGCATTCTGGCTGAAAGGTATTGACCCTAATGACAAATTCTTTAAAATGGTGCCCTTAACCTCTGTGTTTTCCACGGTAAGAGACGATGTGAAACAATGTCAGAAGCACATTGAATTCTGACATTTGAAGTAATTTCCTATCGTCTACTGTATTTTAGTCCAATAGTGAATGAAAGAAGTCATAAAGCGGACATGAATAAATCAGTAAATACGTTTCTGATACAGCAAAACATGTGTTTTCTTAGTTGTGCACTACTGTGGTGCAAATGGATGGAGTTTTAAAAAGAAGAAGAGATCTTCAGCAATTATTCAGGATAATTTTCCATTCCACTGTTATTATTTATAACCTTGTAGCAGCATTAGCACGCTGATGCTGATTCTGCTGAGATATAAATACATCTTCCTGTTTTGGGGCATGCCATCTGGAATCAGGATTCTCTAAAAGAAATGTAAGTAGCTAGCGTTATTCCCCACTTTATATCGCTAACATTTTACTTTTCTTTTTGGATTTGCAGGTGGCAAAGGAGGGAAAAAGAAGAAAAACAAAAATACTGCCAAGCCCCAGAAAAGTAATGGTTCAAACTGGGCCAGTGTTCCCCTCCCACCCCCTCCCGTGCAGCCGCTTCCAGGCACAGAACTGGAGCACTATGGGGTGGATCAGCAAGAAGCAGGGTAATTTTTTTTTCTTTTTCTTTAGAAGAAAAATCTGTGGTTTGCAGAGATGAGGCTTTTTTTTTTAGTTCTTCAACTTTTCCTAAGTGACAATAGTGACAATGTTATTCTGGTTTGTTTAACAAAAGAGAAAGAGCGCCTTATCCTAAAGTCCTATAGACTTTATTCAAGGCTACGGAGGTTGAATGTTTGAATAGCTTCTCTTGAAGATGGAAATAAAAGTGACCTTGCTTCATCATCACGTAGGGCTTCTCTGCTTACTCATGCTGAGAAGTATCTCACCTCACATGTAGCTCAATTGTATTCTGTTGGGACTGCTTGTTCTATGGTGGGACTGGCGCGGGTAAGGATGACATAATCTGGTTCCTTGTATTTTTTGACTACTTTGATGTCTAAAAATATTAAAGCCAATAGAACAACCTCCCCACACATACACCCCTACAAAATTGGTTTAATTTTGGAAGATCAACCAGTGGATAATGATTTTCTCATTGGCTTTTAGAAGAAACTTCACAGTTGAGGAAGGCATGCTATTTATAAGCCTTTAAACAACTCTTGAGTTTCTGGAACCTTTCACTTACTTCTTGATAGCTTAAACTTGTTCTTAAGGACACAAAATCACACAAAAAGCACTAAATGAGAGGAAAGAGACATTTCCTGCACAGAGAACAATGATGGAATGCTTTTTATGAAGTGAAATTATGACATACCTGGGTATCAAACTCTGGAGGAGAATCAGAGTATGTAGAAGAATAGTTTACTGTGGTCAGCTCTGTTGGAACCTTTAAGAATCATTGTTCTGTCAGGGACAAATTTCTGCCTGTTTAAATACATGGATTAATCAATATTTCCTAAGGATGAAACATATGTTTTAAAAGTCATTGTAATAGCTTTACTGAGTAAAAATATTTCAAGTGTTATCTCTTCTGGAAGCATGAATTGATCATCATTATTTTTATAATGAAACTTAGAAGAATTAAATATTAATTATACCAAGTCCTTCAGCTCTCAATATGAATAATAACTGTGTAAGTTGAAATGAAAGTAAAATGAAGCTCCATTCATGCTGTATCAGAGTTAGAATTTTAAGCAAATATAAGGGAAAATGAATAACCTTACTGATTGTAAGTGTTGTTTAAATCTCAAGTCAAAAAGTGCATGTAATCATTGTGTTCTGTATACTGTTACAAAAAGCCAAAATAAATTTAAGATTATTTCCCCTTACAATATTTGTCTTTATCACTTAAAACACATTTGCAGCCCTTTCACTAAAACAGTTATGCTGTAGAAGGCAAACAACTTGGATTTCCTTTCAGGACAATGAAATAGCATAAAAGGCAAATGCAAATACCTTCTAACGAGATGCCTTGTGACTCAGGGCTTGACTCCTCTGTTGCATAAAATATCTGTTATTTGGCTGGAAGCATTGATGTTGGTCACCAAGATAACACTGTTTATTTAAGGATAAAGGTAATCGCCAGTCTTAAGGTTCCCAGCAATTCAGACTTAGTTTTTCCTATGATTATCTTTGGATTACTCTTCTCAGGGGTTTTGTTTTGTAACATCTCATTAATAGTGGTTGTAACAAGGCCTTCTAATGTGCATTTTACCAGACATAAAAAAGAACCATTGAAGGTTAGACAGTATCAGTCTTGAGCTACAGTAATTTGCAACCAGCTTTGCTGAACCCAATGAGTCTGCCATGCCCCTGGTTCCTGAGGAGGCATCCAACAGGAGTGGTCATTTGGTACTCAGGGGTTGATTTTGTTTCTGTGGTTTTCAACGTACTAAAATCAACTGAAACATAGACTGCTTTCCTTATGTTGTCTTTTTGACACAGTGGGTAAAAAAAAGAAGCTAGCAAATTTTGTAAACTGTTTTGGTTTTCCTTATTTGCTTTGAGGCATACTATGTATGACAAGTTCAATGTGTTTTGATTTAAGAATTAATCACATGCAGATGTAATTATATTGAGGATTACAATTGAAAAATGAGCTTCCAGTCAGAAAAACTGAAGGCTTTAATAAAGTTCTCACAATGTGATATGAAAGGTGAACTTTTAGAACAATAATCCAAGGAAGTTGGCATCTAAACATCTTTTTCTGTGCTCTTGAATTCACGTGAGTTTCATTAGCATGAGTATCCCAAATAAACTAAACAATCCTGACACCTTATTTTGCTTACTAGAAAATAAATCCCCAACAGCAGCAAGTTCAAAAAAAAAGTCCCCTAACTTAAGCATAAGCAAGGAAGAAAAAAAAAATACGCTTAGTTCTCTCTACCGTCTTCTCCCCAGAAGAACTGATGTTTGCATTCTCCTCCATTTTAACATGAACTGCAACACACATAAGGAAAAGTGAACATGTTAGTCCAAGCAGCCACTTTATTTAATATGGTAGCTTTTAGGATGTCTTAAATTCCTAGTTTAAAAAGTCTGTTCTTCTGCAGAAAGTCTGTTTATACTGTTGTTTTCCTGGCAAGCTCTTCCCCTTTTTTGTGGTCTTCTAGAAACTCTGTGCTTGTTCCTTGTTATTTTCCCTAATTTTCTATTGTATATATTGCAGTCTTTGAAGTTTCTCTTTTCCTCTAGTAGCTCCCAACCAAGGATGTTCCTTTTCTCTCCCTTTTCAGAAAAGATGCTTTTGCTTGGTTTTATCTAATAAGCTTGACAATAAGGAAATACCTATTATTTATTCATTATCACCTATTTATATTTTTTCACTGATAATACGTATGAGCTTGAGCCAGCTCCAGTAAAGGCAGTCCTCATACTGTTATCATTGGTTATTTTTATTTCTTTCTGTTGATTACACCTTAAAAAGGAATGTTGGCTGCTGGATGTCCAGAAAAAGTAAAGAAGATAATACCTTTTATTTTAAAAAATCCTTTCTGGCAAGGCCTAGAGAGGGAAGCTTTCTTTGTGTAATGAAACACAATCGTTTCAGAATGTGCCCCTTATCTATCAATCACCCCTGGTTTTTATTTTGAAGAAAAACAGTTATCAATGTAACAAACCAAGCTTTTTAATAGCAAAATATTACTACAGAATAAAAGTGCTGAGAATAGAATAAAAATTGTTAGAAACATAGAGCGTTATGTTTGTTAATTAGAACTTATTAGGGACTTAATTATAATGAAATTACAAGCAGAGGTCCCTAGTGAAGTTAAGGTGCTTTGATTTTAATGGGAAGTACTTGAAAAAGGTTATATTTTCACCAAGTTTCTATATGCAGAAAACCAAAAAGAACATGGATGTGACTGATATTCACTATGCTGATTCCAGAAGTTTCAATAACTGTATCGTTTATATGAGGTGTAGTTACTGCTTTTTCTGCAGGTATCTTTTTGTATTTTGTAAAATGTAGGTTAGAACTGGTGGCTTTTCAGGCATCTTACATTATAAAGACAAAGGTTCTTGTACCTGAAATCTGCAATCTCCATGTCCTGAACTTCAGGCTTAGGCTCTTCAGCATTTCAAATAAAATCTAGGTAAAGGTACGATACTTGTGCAGAATCTTTGTACTAAGAAATCTTTTTCCTAAGAAATCCTTTTACTATCAAGCTGAACATTTGGGGATTTGAAGCAAGTAGGGTCAAAAGGTGAGCACATCCAAAGTTCTTTTATGCATTACTGAAAAGTCACTGGGGAGTATCTTTCTGCCCTGTCCCTTTTAAAGAAGAAACCATTATACCAGAGCATGAGGTTGAGAGAGTAAAAGTAAGTGACAGAACTGTTGCACTGTACATTTTTAGCAGCATGAGTTAGGATGGTCCCTTCAACCTTGGCTGGCAATGTCATGAGTTAATATTGCAAGGAAAGACAAATTAGAGCTATTCATAGCTTAATTGTCTCCTAAGGAATCGGATATGTACCATATAACATTTTCTTAAATCTCTGTTATGAAAATGATAACCATCAATCACTCAAAAGCTCCTAAATGCCAAGTGTTAAGATGCAGTATTTGTTTGCACCTCTGTATATAGACGTATGTTTGTGTACCTATATATGGTTATATCTAGATATAAAGTGATATGAGCTGTAATTACAACATGTCTTCTGCAGACTTTTGGATGATTAAGCCAGGTTGGTTTAGCTATTCTGAATCTGTGCTTTTAAATACAGACTACAGACCTCTGAATAAGGAAAAAGTAGTTTAGTTAATTTTAGAAATCTTTGGGTTTTGCTTAAAGTGAACGTTCTGTTCATAGTATGGGTTTTAAAACTTCTCTGTCTCAGTGTTCCCAGCCTTTTGTAACCCAGCTTCGCGCCTAATAAAATCGGCAGTGATTCATTTTTCTCTGGGAAACTGGTAATTCCATCTTTCCAAATCAGAAGCATTAAAGGAGTGTTTTTGAACTGGTTTGGGAAATTACCTGTATAATGCAATGCATTACTTGCGGCACTGCAGAAAAAAGGGTTGTACCTTGTCAGCAGTCCTTGAAGGTGGAAAGAAGATAAAGTGACTTAGACAATGCTTGGGGGAATGGCTTTTGGAGGGCAAGATGGTTTGACAGTGAAAGAACTGTGAGAGCTTTTGCTTGTCTGTTTGCCTTTTGAAAAGAGCTGTCTATCTTGAGGTATTTTGGAATACACTGGGAGTTAAGAAATGTGTGAAGGTGCTCAGGGGACTGCAGGCTGGATGTTTGGAAGATGGGAAGAATAGTGTTGCGATCTTAGTGGTGTGATCATCAGCAGAGCTGTGTACAACTGAAGCCGTGTTCAGACTAGGGAATTACTCTGGGGAGATGATGCACAGGGAACAACCACGGTCACCACGGCCTAGGCATCTTGAGTGATGCTGGTGCCTCTAAGGGACAGTGTCCTGGGATGATACTGTAACACAGCACTGACCTGAAAGGTCCTGTGATGAGTACAGACACAGAAAAGGGATGAATTGCTGGCAAATCTTGCATAAGAAGTGGTAATAGAATATAAAGCTGCTCTTTCTAGCCCTGATCAGATGTAGCATCACCTCTTACACCTTTGGTATTGGACTAAGAAGCACAAAAACCTACCAGAACATCTCTTACATGCGAAGAGAGAATTTGGTATTAAAGAATATTGGTAGTTTTTATTTTTTTATTTACTTTGGGCAGGCGTGTTGGAAGCATTGAGACACGTAGCACTTCCTAGGTAAGTCCCTGTAAAGATTGGTTAGCAGGTGGGGCGCTGGCAGAGCTGCCAACATGTGTGCTAATGCTGTGACATAGCATATGCTTAGGGTCAGTGCTGCTGCAACATGAATGTGTTACACATCATAGTACGTATCTATGTGCAGTGTGGAAAGAACAGAATTTATGTGGAAAGTGCAGCTTTATAGTGAAGCTACAAAATAAAAACAACTGGTAAATTTATAGACAAATAAAGGGGAGGATAGGAGTGAGGATGTTCCTAAGTGCACCTACATAAAGCTCGATCTGCCTTTTAAGAGCGCTGCTGTTTTCACGTTTAGGTCAATCTTCACACGTTCTCCTAGGTTAATGATCCAGGAAGTGAGTTAGTTCATTTTTGTTGTTGATTGTGGTGTAGCATTATCTAATCACCATTAGCAACTGTTATAATGGATCAGTAATTTTTTTGTTGCACAGCTTGTTCAAGTTGCTTAACTTAAGTTGTGGGAAAAATTAAGCAGACTCGGTAAAGAGAATTTAAGCAATTATGACCCTATTTTCAATAAATGTTAAAGCTCACACTGCATGCGAGGGTTCAAACTGTAGCAGAAATCCTGTATACTCTCTACTGCATGGCAGAGATGAGATTTGATATATACTGTGCTTACTTGTTTTTTCATTTTAGATATGACAGTGATGGTTGGTGTCCGCCTTTGCCAGTTCAGACCTACCTACATCAGGGCATGGAGGATGAGCTTGAAGAAGATGATGATCGTGTCCCCACGCCTCCTGTGCGAGGAGTAGCTTCATCACCTGCCATCTCCTTTGGGCAACAGTCAACTGCAACCCTCACGCCTTCTCCACGAGAGGAGATGCAGCCAATGCTTCAAGCCCACCTTGATGAATTAACTAGGGCTTACCAGTTTGATATAGCAAAGCAGACATGGTAAATGTTTGACGGGGGAACCTTGGGAAATGAATAAGCATAATAATAATTTATTCCTTGATGGCATAAACATTGACTGTGTTCAACAACATTTCAGTAATGTTTCCAAAGCAGTAAAATGAAAGAAGTAGCAAAACTACAGTGTGAAGGCCTTAAACATTAGTTAGTCCTTTTTAAACAGTAATGCTTGATTATATGTTAAATCTTGGCTAAAAGCTCATGAAAATAATACTCCTCTGGTTTTAACATATGTTCAACTAAATAGTTAACATCAACCTACTGAAAACCTTCATGCAGCTGAGAGTAGTCTCTTTTCAGGCTAGCAAAATGTATGAATTTCTTAGGATTTTCAAAAAACATTGAGGTTCTAAATTCCTGATTAAAAATAATGCTAGCACTGGAAATAGCAACGTAGCAGCTTTTTACCTTGTGACACATGGGAACGAAGCATTTGCATCTCTGACTGTAGTTTGAAATACCATGAATATTTCTGATTCATAGGGAAGAACCCAGAAGTAGCAGGAAGGAAGTTGTTAGTATTTACGAAATGGACCTAGCGTTTTAGAGTGCTTTATGCCTATTTAAAGGAAGAGCAAGCAAATACCACACTAACATTTCCCCTGCAAAACAAACAGAAGCAATGTCTTCAGGGACTGAAAAAGAACTTGTCATCTGCACCAGGCTGGGGATATGGTGAAGGTCAGTTGCTTTCTGCGTGTTCCCTGAGCAGCAGTTGTCCTTTTACAACTTTTCTACCCAGACAAAGCCTGTGAATCTCAGAGGAGAGGAGCAGAGCTAGTTACCGAATGGCATGCTGCCAGCAGAGGAGCAGCCTTTCTTCGCTGGTAAATAAAGCCACAAAGTTATTCAGCTTGAGCTACCATAAATAGATCAGGCAGGTAGGCAGGCAGTGCCAAATCAAAGCCAGCTGTTTTCCCTGGACACCCTCGAAGCCTCAAGGCTTGTCTGCAATCTGTACTCAATCAACAGGGTACTTTGGTCCTGCTGCAGTGCCATGCTGCCAAGCACGGACCCCGGCCTGCCTGTGGGACAGACCCAAATCCCAGGCAGCAGCTAGACCTGGCCTATTAAAGGTAGCTGACTTCTGAGCCAGCACACAGATGCATACCCTATCTATGCAGTCATCGCTGCTGTATTTTGCAGCTGTTACCCTTTCAAACTTTGTTTGTTTGTTGCCCTGCAAACTGTGGGTATCAGTCTGGGAGTGAATAACAGCAAGACTCTGAAACAAAGCCTCTTCCAGCTGACAGGATAGGTCTTGCTCTCTTTCTGGAGAAAGAAAAGTTGTTTGGGAACTTTCACAATGTGCTGAGGAATATACAGATTTTAACATCGCTTTTGTGTAAGGTCACAGTAATTGAGCCTGAAATGCTGAAAAGAATATCCAAGAGACAACCTTTTTTTCATACTAGGACCTTATAGCAGATACCGAGATGAATATTGAGGCTTGCAAATACAAGTGATTTTTGTAGTAGCTGGGACATGGAATTGTTTAATGCTTGGATGTTGTTTGGCTGGACACGTATCATGCTGTTCAGCAAATGCTGTTCAGATTCAGTGGAAGGTCCTCCATTGTCTGAAGTGGGAAGGAAGAGTTCTTTACACAGTTAACCTGTCCATTGTAGCGGGAAACAGAACAAGAAGATGTCTTACTTACTGTCAGATAGCTTACTTCAGGAGTAACAGAAGAGGAATACAGAGACCAGCCAACTAGAAATTTAAGAAAGAGCACATTGGAGATTACTGGAAAAGTACATAATCATTATGGCCTTAATCCAGCAAATCACTTAAGTAAATGCTTAACTACAAGTACATGAGAAATTGACTTCAATTGTTCTATCGCATGCATAAGGCTAAGCATGTACTTAAGTATTTTTCTTGATTGGGAGCTAATCACACTGTTTATTGAGGGTTAGTTAGATGGTAGTGCCCTTTAGCCTAGTGTTTTGAACGCTGCATAGCTAAGAACCGGGTGTCCAGGCAGGAAAGTATTCAAGAACTGCTCATCAGAAGGGGGTTGTATATCAGAAGGGAGGCATTTGCTCTGCAAGGAAGCTTCAGAATGAGCAATGAGTTAAAAGCTACAGCAAGGTGGAGAGAGATTCCAGTGGTACATAACATTTACCGAGACATTCTCAGATCCAATGGATTTGTGTTATGGAAAAAACCTACTCTTTGAATAAAGAAAATGATTGCATTCATCAAGTGCAGGCAATAATGCTGCACAGTTTCCATCAAAAACGTGTTAGAGCCGGGAATATAAACAGGTGACAGCTGGAATTTTTTCTGTTATGCTGATGTCCAAGCAAGAGACCAGCAGAATGCTGGATCCCATCCAGAGCGCTGCTGATTCGAGTCAGGTCACTCCACCTCACGTACAGCCGCCCAAGGATTCCCAAATGCCTAAGTGAGCAATTCCAAGCATGGCACATGCTCTTTCGCAAGGCCAGTGGCGCCTGGGTCCCCTGGCGCAGCTTGCTGTGTACCTGTAGTGCTGTGGAGAATGCTGCATTCAAAACTGATGATTCTTTTCCTTTCTAGCCTCTCACAGATCATGGGAATGAAGCTCCAAGTCCCATCCCATGCTTGCCTTTGGCCATTTAGCTATCCTGTGGTTGTTCTCTATCTTTGTTTTATTTATTAATTGTGATTGCTGCATGCAGTAATTTCACACATGCGTGCCCTAACACTGCTGCAATTAAATCAAGTAAATTACTTGGAACAGAGCAAAAACAAAGAAGGCCTCACTGATAACGGGTTCACTGGATTTGTCATTTTTTGCTTTTCTATTGGTCATTTCCTCCTCTTTAGGGTGACTTCTACTTAAGGGAACTGAGTCTGTTTAAGCAGAAGTAGTGACATTTAATTTTGGCTCAATGTGTGATTTGCAAGGTGGAATATTGGGTGAGAAACTTACATGCTAGGTTGGGATTCAGATTTGTGCTTTTCCTTGGACTTCCCACCTGATTTCTATAGCCTCCACACATGTCATTTGTCATCTGTGAAAGGACAATTTTGACCTTCCCCATCCTACTGGAGGACAAGAATATTTAAGACTGGAAAGTGTGCAGGTACACTGGTATAGGAAGCTATGGTGAATAACTGAGCTCACTTATCTTGAGTTTGACCTAATAAGCATGTTTTGTAAATGTACTTCAGGACTTAATGAAAGGCTTATCTTCTGTTGACCACGGGGTAGAGAGTCTCATCTGTTCTGATGACATTTTCCTGTTTGTTTGTGTAGGCACATCCAAAGCAATACACAACCTCCTCAGGCTCCAATTCCCCCCCTAGGATATGTATCTGGAAACCTTATTTCAGATTTGGAAACGGATGTTCCGGATGATGATGATGATGATGATGATGATATTGAAGAAGAAACTGTAGAAATCAGCAGGCCGCTAAGAGGTCTAGAGCATACTCCAGGCTCCAGTATGGACAATCTAGACAGCTCTGTGACAGGTAATCAAACACAGTTAACAGTGACACCAACTTGTTCCTTACAGTCAAACACTTTCTAAGTGAAAATTTATTCCACTCTATTTCTGTAACATTTGAAATGTGCTAATATTAAACAGTAAAGGTAAAGAAGGATTTGAAAATACTTTGCTTTGCTGCAAAATGATAAGAAAATTCATGAATTTTAAAAAGCTTTAAAAACTTGAAAGAAAACTCAATTATATCCTAGCTTTCATGAAAAGTTCACTCTACTGGAGAAGCAAGCCAGCTACATAAAATGGAGGGGGAAGACCTCATCTTAGGAATATATATTTCATAGATCAGGAGCAGCATAAAAATGTTACCTTAAAGCACTTTTAGATATTTTGCTGGGTAAATGCTTTCACAGATGAACACAGGGAAGTTAAAAGACGTCAGAATAAGTGTAGTTAGACCAGCACAACATTTATTTGTAGAGTAAATACAACATTTGTGTAGGAAAATGTGTATTTTGAGCCTACTTTGTATTGCTGAATTTAGGAGTTGTTCTCTGTCAGTGGATATATTTAATTATCCTGACACTCCTTCCTTCACTTCTTCTCGCCCTTTGCATGCCTTGGAAAGTTACCACAGGGATCATCAGAGAGGACCTAGAAAGGCATGCTAAGCTAATGCACAGAATCTGAGTGAATAGAATTGCTGGTGATGAAACATAGGCAGCAAAAGACATTTTTTGAAAACTAAAGATTTCATATGGAAATAATGTACTTTTTCTAAGTATTGGTATATTTCCCTTTAGGTTGAACTTGGGTATCTATATACCATATCCATAATGTACAGCTGTAGTGGGGACCCAAAAATACATAGTGTACGTAGCCCATAAAAGCTAGTGGGTGCTTCTTCAGTCTTTGATCTCAGCAGAAGAACACTGGTTGTCAGTTGTCCATTAAGGGACACTTGCTCAGTACAACTTACTTACTAGCAGAGCACCACTGAATTTCATCCCTTTCTGGATGAAATTCTGGACCTTTGAAATTCCAAGGATTTTGCACCCTCACTTAAACAGTGCTGTTCTGAAAACACTGCAGGAAGATGACAGTGATGGAGCATCAATAGCTATAATTTTCTTCATTTTCCCTTGTTGAATTATATAGTGTGCAGCTTAATCCCACTTTCCAGGTTTTCTTTCACCCTAGGGCCAGACTGCTTGCCAATCTAATTAAGATTTAAGTATTGTATCTCTGCTGCTGTGATTTGAAATCCAGATTCCACTGAAGGCCATAGAGTTAAAGTTTAAATCCCTGAATTGAGAAGGTTAACTTATTAGTGCATGAGTATGTTAAGTCACTTTGCTTGAATTTCTAGTGTAATCTCCTTCAGGCTATAATTCTGCATATTTTTGCATATCTCACTACTGGCTTAGAAGCCTTCCCATTAGGAATGCAGTAAGATGCTTGCACTTGTAATACAGCAATAAATAAAAAAAACTAGGTTGCTATGTGTTTTCCATTTGGTGTGTATTAATATGCCAAAGTTGATATATCTGTAAATCAGAAAATTAATGTTTTTCACATTTGCATCTTCACCTAATATTTCGGACCACCCTGGCTTGTGCAAAGCAAGGAATGGCTGCATTGCCATTCCAATTTGTAGACTTCTGTGCTTATTACAATTTATCCTTTTATGTATAACATTCAAGCTTGTTATAATGGTTATAAATCATGTTTAATTATGGAGTATTAAAAACTTCCTGGTGTATTTTTTAAGAAATTGGGCAGAAGCTGGTAATGCAGATCAGGAGTGTACTTAAGGTGGTCTAAACGCATTCCCACTCATCTCCACCACTATCTTGATGTGACCTCATCCAGCTGAAAATTAAGGTTTTTCTTTTTCTTTCGCTTGTGTAATTACTGTCTGGGTCTGTTCCTTGATCTGGTTCACACTGCATGGCAAGGTGTTTGCTGGCACTCCAGGAAGGGAACGTGCAGCTGGAAGGGAAGCAAAATGATAGACCACCCTTAAAGCATAAAGCCAACACTCACATTGACTTAAAACAATTACAGAACTATAGCCTTATGAAAATACATCTGAAGTGTTCGTCTAAATGATCTGTAAAATGGCAAACTCTCTAAATAACAAAACTATTTCTGGTTTCCTCCGTTTCTATATGGGTAAAACCTCAATTTTCTGAAGGCTTGTTTTGGGATTGTTTTTTTTCTAGGGGTGGATTATACTTGGGTGAATTGTTCCAAAAGAGTGTTTTAATTTGTGTGTTTCCTCTTCTGTTACCTCTTCCAGGCTGCATTTACTGGTGTTAAGGAGGGTATATAACAAATTACATTCATGGTTTCTAAGCTGCTTCCCCTTCTTTAATTTGATTGCTTTTAGAATACTGTAAAACAACTAACTTGTTCTTTCTTGCACTGGCAATATATAAGGTACTTCTTTTCACAGGGCTTTTGGTGACTTAAGCAGCATTTTCCTAGGAATTGTTATGCAATGTTTTCGCTGCCTTAAACATTATATTAAATAATGGAGGCAAATGGCAACAGCTGACCCAGATGAAGCAATCTTAATGTTCGTTTTCAAGCACACCTTGTGAGTTCCATGTTTGTGAGAATTCTAAATTGACATGCCTTAGTCCAGACTTCCTCCAAATAGAGATGCTGTATGGTCAACAGGGCGAGCTTCCTCATCCTGTACTGTTAGCATGCCTCAGCAATGACTTGAAGATGCCCACTCTTGAAGTGAAATGGTACTCAGTTCGTTATGGCTGAACTGGGACTGAGGTTTTCATCCAATGCCAAATGTGGGATTCTCTGAGGGGAAGCACTGGTGCTGGGTGAGCCAAGCTCAAACTGTTAAATTCTTCTGAAAACAGAGTGTTGCTCATTTAAACTGTTTGAAAGTCAGGTTGTCTTCCAGGTCCTTGATTTTTAGTTACAGCTAACTGGAAATTCAGACAAGCATTTAATCTGTGCTGTTAAGCTTTTCTCTTTGCAGGTGGCAGAGACATAATGTTGACATGTATAATAAAGTGAAAAGAAAGAAGTGCACAGTAACTATATCTTAACATTTTCCAGATATTGCAAAGGAAGCTCAAGGAGGGAGGTTTAGAATTGAATGTTTGTGGGATGGAATATGAAATTGAAGCCAAAGTTTTCCTTCGTTCCCAGCATGGTTTGTTAAGATACTGAGTTACTGATTCTGATTTATAAAAAACCAAACTGAAAAGCAGCTGTAAAGCATCTGCCCACGTGACCACTTGACTTTCAATTTACAATTATTTAGGGTTGGTTTTGCTTTTGGAGACACACTGAAATATGTGGGTTTTTTTCTTTTGCTTATGTTTGATGTTTGCCTTTGTAATGAATTGCAGGGCAGAGTTATGGCATGAATGGTCACCAAGATTCTGTTATATTTAATAGACTTAATTAATTGCATATGATGACTGTAAAAGAAATCAGTTTGCTTCTTAGTGAAATCACTTCGAAAAACACTGGGTTTTGTCAGATCACAGTATTATGATGTGGGGGTTTTCTTTGCCCTTTCCTCATCTTCTCCCCCACCCCAGCACCACCAGTGAAGATGGTAGAGAGAGCTGCTCTATCTTCAGTCCTTCCTTTTGACTGAGGGGAGAGAGTCACCCATTAGCTAGCATGGAAATTAGAACAAGCCCTTTTCTACCTAACTGGTACAAACTGCTATAAGCAGAGAGATATTCTTGTAAACGGTACCACTGCAAATGGATAACAATTTTTTTTTCAATAGAATTATATAGATCTGAAATGATAAAGACCTCCATAGGCTGTATAACTCGGCAAGGAGGAAAACCCCTTATTTGGCATGTGTTGGTCTTGATTAAAAGAATCACTGATCACTGTCTGTATGATAAAAGTTGTTCATTCGTTGTGTCTGAGTACAAATGGAATAATTCTTGAAAATTGTACAAAATCATTTTCATGAGCCATATTTTACCATTGCAGAGTTCAATATTTATATTGATTTGCTTAGGGATACCTATTGCAAAAAATTCTGGTTTATAAGCAGTTAGACAGATTGCATTTAATAGGAAGAATGTGTTTCATGGATTAAATATGTGCTCAGAAAATAGGAAACTGCTACTTTTTGTATCTCATAAAAATGGTAATGCAACAATTAGCAGGGTCATATTATAAAGCACAGACTTTACTCTAGCTTAATGGATCTAGGGATATGCATTCATCAGCAACGATAGATTTAGCATAAAATGACATGTAAATGAATTGATGACTGATCATAAATTAATTTTAGTGCTGAAGAAGTAATAGAGACACAGCAAGATGCCACTTTATCATAGTATTTTACTGCTCAGCAACATTTGAGCAACTACTTAATGTTCTGTGTGCATTTCTTCTCTAACAGCTTGAATAAATTCTAGAAATTTTTGTGCCTTTCAGCAATATGGAAACCAAAAAAATTTAGAAAGATTGAAAATGCAAACACCAATAAATTTGGCTAAGTGACATAAATTCGGTTTTCATTGAATGTTTATGAAGGGCATTAATTATGGTTGGACCTGTGAAGTGCTAAATAGGTATGTATGGTTTTTACCTCCCTTTGTTTAGTGTTTCCTGCCCCAAAGTACAATTTTTAAAACCAAAGCGTTATTTCAGGTGTATACATTTAAATATTCAGGCATTTATGTTGAGTATAATGTAAAGTATAAGACCAGATCTAATTTTTGAAGTGTGATCATATTTATATTGTGCATTCAGCCCCTTCAATTATTCTTTCATATATTAATGGTACAATGACTTTTGCCTCTTTTAGTCCGTCATTTCCACCAGAATCAGCAGACATTCATTCTTTGTAATCACAACAGCAGTCAGAGATATCCAGAATAGGATGATGTCTTCCTCCCATTCAAAGGCTAAAGGAATTCTGTAAATGATTTCATCTGAAGTCACATCAGCCCCTATGGACTTCATCCGCACTTCACAAACCTCAGCAGTCTAGCCCTGTTCCAGCAAAAGAACCTGCAG